TATTCTAGCACACGTCCCATTTTGTGGTGATTCGTATTTGCACCTGGCCCACAATTACCCAGTGAGTCATTTGAGGGTAGGGGGCCATGTATGTCCTCACCATTATCCCATGCGCCTAGCACTTTCTTTGTTCAAGGCCCATACCAGGTGCTCAAAAAATGTCCTGTGAAATGAACTGTCTCTTTAGTTATGTATTAATATCATCTAATACGGCTGAACACATTGTCGACTCTCAATAAATCTTTTTTGAGTCGAGTAACGCAGTGTCTGCTTGTCATTGGAGTTAACACATATCTAGTTCTGCGAGGCTTATAGATTTATCAGGAAGGATTATAAAAACTAATACAGGAATAATCAAGGCCTCCCTATCAGCAAAGCTTCATGCTAAGTCGTGGCTTGTATTGGAGTGCATAGAAATCACTCCCGATCATTGAGTATTTCTAATATATATATTCTAAAAAGCAGTATTTCTGCTTGTTCTATTGTTGGTGCGAAGAAGATACATAGAACCTTCAACTGAGTAGAAATAATGGACATTATTTTTACTCCGGTGTTTTAAGTAAAGAATATGAAATTGCTTTGTTTTGTTAAAAATCAATAAAAGCTCTTTATAAATATATTCTTTATAAATATAAGCCAACATACAGACTTTTATTTTTATAATTTAAAAAAATCTAGGCTTCAAAATAATTTATTAATGAATATATAATCAAGCTATTTATATAATGATAGAGTGTTAAACTCAAGGCAGTCTTTATAAACAATGTCATCCACAAATACTATAACCCTTTTCCAATCATTAAAGGAAGAAAATACAGGTAAGCATTTATTCTTTGATTTTCTGCCTTGAAGGCACTGGGTCATTTAACAAAGCAATTCAAAAGAAACATTAAATGTAGAAAACTTCATTTCAGGGAATTATTAGTAATAGTGCATATCCAATCATATATAGCAACCCAATTCCCAAGAAACATTCATAAAATGGTCACTGTACTAAACCGAGGTGATAGCTGTGCATATGGTATACAATAAAGGTAAGTGACGATTCCAAAGGCCAGGCAGGACACTGTAAGATAGCAGTGGTTGGATTGCATTCGTCAGTAGAAGCCTTTGATGAAAAACTTTCTGGATTTGCTGGTATAGAACTACACAGAGCATATGGCTCATTGAAACAAGATTAAAAAAAAAACAAAACCAAACCTTTAAAGTAATCTGTGAAATTACAAATTTAAAATTTCTTCACAGATCATTATAACATGAAAATGAGTTAACAGAAAAGCTCTGAAATTCACTGCAAAGTTTAAATTTGTACTTAATTTCCAGTTGAGTAGAATGCTTTCCTGCTAAGAGGGTCATGTAGATTTTTCGAGAAGAATTATTTACTTGAATAACTGACCATTATAAGTAAGATACATTTTGAGTATTTTTTATTTAGTATAAGGAAAGTGAATGCCTTTTTTGAGGGGATTTTTGGCTATCTTTACAAAAACTAATTTTGGTAGAAACAGTGACACAGTAAGATTGTAGGAGTCAGGAAATGTTGGTCGTTTCTTGTTTAGCTTGCATTTCTCTTTAGTTAGGCTTTCTACTTCCATGTTACTGGAAACCACGGGGCTTCCTGACTGCTAAGCTCTCAGGGTCAGTCTCCATGCCAGGCTGGGCTCTTCCATTCCTTCCGTACTGTGCGGGCCTGAGGCCTTTAGACTCTTTTCAATTAGCGCTGTCTCCAGCTTCTCTAATGTTGGCTAGACATCTTTGGTAATTCTCCCTGTGGTACAGGGAGGATATGGTCTCTCCAACTCCCCACTTCCTTGCTGCCCCGAAAAAAGCGTGTGAGACATTTTTCATTTAAGAGTTTTACTGTTGGCTGGGCGTGGTGGCTCACGCCTGTAATCCTAGCACTCTGGGAGGCCGAATTGGTGGATTGCTCGAGGTCAGGAGTTCGAAACCAGCCTGAGCAAGAGCGAGACCCAGTTTCTACTATAAATAGAAATTAAGTGGCCAACTAATATATATAGAAAAAAAATTTAGCCGGGCATGGTGGCGAATGCCTGTAGTCCCAGCTACTTGGGAGGCTGAGGCAGGAGGATCGCTTGAGCCCAGGAGTCTGAGGTTGCTGTGAGCTAGGCTGACGCCACAGCACTCTAACCTAGGCAACAAAGCAAGACTGTCTCAAAAAAAAGAGTTTTACTGTTATTTATTATGAGATAGAGTCTTGTTAAAAAAAAATCAGACTAAGAAAAAGTTTAAAATTTAACAACACTTCAATGCATGTTGTCCCTCATAATTTCCCAATGTGGTTATCAGGCCTGAAAACTGGCGGACCCCTGCTTTGTTCTTTTATTTTGGTGCAGATTTCACGAGTTTCTAGCCTCCTTGTTTCTAAACCCGAGACCCTATAAAGGCCTGCCTGCCCGCACGTGGGCGGAGGCCAGAGTCAGGGTGGGGGACCTGTCCCAGCCTTTCCAGTCCTGACCCTCTTCGCGTGGCCTCACAACTCAACATGGACGCTGCCCCTACGATGTCACCACCCTAGAACCTTTCTTTGAATAGTCATGTTTCCTGGGGGACTTGGGCTACTATGAAACATAAATAAACCTGAATGAGCAGATATTAGATTTAATTAATGCGTAACACCTACTGCACCTGAGACAAAGGTTCTGGATATCCTTAGTTTAGCCCATCAAGGTTTATGTGCAAGTCACTAAAACCCATTCCCTCATTCAACTTTCCATCTCCTCCAGCTTTAGGTCCGCCTTATCTTCTCCCCACACCCATCGTGAGCAGGGGAGGCCTTACTGGGGCGTGGGAGGGTGGACTTAGCTCCCTCTCGTCCTTGGAGGGCAAATCTTAACGTGCTCTAAGTTTCGGCATCTTATGACATAAGGACGGACGCACCTGTGAGTATGGAAGCTCCGGGCGAGTCTCGGCTTCCATCCACACGGAAGTCGACATTGGATCCTTTATGCATCAATGCACTAAATGACCAGGGGTGAGGTGGCTCACCTGCAATCCTAGCACTCTGGGAAGTCGAAGTGGGAGGATCGCTTGAGGTCAGGAGTTTGAGACCAGCCTGAGCCAGAGTGAGACCTGTCTCTACGAAAAAGAATAGAAAGAATTATCCAGGCAACTAAAAATAG